CGAGGAGAGTGATGATGATAAACAGGACAGAAGCCGTGCTCTAGAAGCTGGTCTGACGCCATCAGCGGTCTCGGAGTTTATGGCGCTAAAGCGGATTTTCATGCTGGATCTTGCAGGTGCGTCTGCTTTTGCCGGAATCCTACTGACGCCCACACTGCACGTGCAGGTCGTACTGTAGATCGCCACTTACTGGTTTTAGCAAGAAGGGTTACTAGGACTAGCACTTCTAGCATAGGCACAGCACTTCTAATAGTATTTTTCTAGCTCTAGTATTTTAAACTTTAGGAAACAACTAGGGCAAGCACTGATGTGCTCCGAGTTTCAAACCTCTACTCGGGATAGCAAAAATCCAGATCCTCACTCCTACGTGAGATCAAGGGAACACGGTCCTAGACCTAATTCCAGTCAGTGTCGTTTCTGAAAAGATTTTAGCGTCAGTAAGGGTACCAGCACTACAATCACTCAGCTGAACCGCTAGAAGCAGCAGTGTTAATAGTAGTTTCAGTAGTAGAAATATGAGACTCGGCCTCCTCGAATCTTTCTGGGCACCTACTATAGGTGACTGAGGGTAAATTGTGCAATAATACCAGCGCAAAAAGCTACTGTCACTTAAGGCTAATTTAGGCGGCGTCATCTCGACTTTGTCTTATCACCGGCTGAAGCAGAGGAGAGTTTACAGTGTGATAAATGGCTGCTCGTCTACTTTCACCATACCTGACTACAATCACCATTCCTGCTCTTTGAGCATATGGTTGACATAATCGAAATCAGTGGTCGAACTAACACCGACCACCACACTGCTGCTGCTGCTGCTGAAACCACATCTAACTTTCTGCGCGTTTTTTTTTAAAGACGAAGAACTTGAAGCGCTCAAGGTAATTGGCGAGGATGTTTCAGATGGCGGTGAAGGGGAGGAGGAAGAGGAAGAAGACCTGATCGCTCGCGAGCTGGAGGACTCTGATGACGAGTTCTCAGTTATTAGTAAGGAGGTTTCCCTGGATTTGAACAACCTGGTGCTGAGGTTTGCGCATGCGCATATCATACGTAATTTAACGTGAGTTAGCATTCTTGGTTGTCGTTTTTGGAGGTTTGAAAATCAACCTCTGCGTTCTTTACAAAAGAATGCGGACTACGCCTGTTCGAGGTTCCTCCTAACATCCAGTCGTTTTTATTTTGCAAAGTATTCTTCTGGAAAACTATGCACTCAATCCGCCCACCACCAACGATTGTCTGGTACGTCTGTTTCACCGTGTTGCCGTGCGCAGGCATTTGCCGGGTGCCTGTTTCCAGCTGCGGCTGTTTCGCGTCTTCCAGAGCATCGTCAACGACCCCGGGATCTCTAAGCTGGAAGAATTTCAGGTGCACCCTTAGTCAACCGCTTAATTTCTATATTATTATTCTTCCAAGTACTCCTTGCATTCACTGGACCTAAAAGTACACCGGTTACGACGCAACTGCTGACGTAAATAAAGGCAGAATTCTTTTGGTTTATTAAGGTCGCTCGGAAACCGGGTAATAGCCTATCGCTCTGCGCCCTCTGAGGGACTGGTCAAATAGCACTTTCATCTTTTCGCCTAGCCTTACGAGCCTTTTTATTTAATCACCATTCTGTCTGCTTCAGTTCTCTCTCCTTCTCTTTAATATTTGCTCACCTTCAACGCGATATTTAAACGCCAACCTTTGTAACATCCAAGGTTCGAACTCGCTATCTGTTTCTTTGAAGTCGAAGTCCCTTACCATTGAAGCCCAGGCTCGTTTTCCCGTCAGTTTCGATCCGCTTTATTACCTGCAATAGAGGGCGTTTCAGGGGTTGCAAACCCGGTGATGGGAATGGTTAGCTGATGACGTCTAATAAGTCAGGAATGGCAATTTCAGTCTCCTTTGCCTTTTTGTTATTTCATTTTTAACTTGGCTCTGTTGTGAAATTTGTTTGTTTTCGCATAATAATCTATTCCAGAGCCTCCTTATCGTTGTAAAAAATTTCAGAACAACGCAATCGCTACGGCGTGCTTAACTCTTGACTGTCAAACAATTTTCTCATGTTGAACGTCGGTGTGGGTTCGTAATGTTTCATAATAACTGATCAGAAACTTGGGCAGGATAAATCGACATTGAAATACGTTAAACATGATTTTCTGAAATTGCTCGACGCATAATTGCATCCCAGCATATTAGCACGTAGGTTTTTAAACCATAGCAGGTTCAAGCTTTCGACACTCAGTATGCCCATCACCCATACAGCCTGTACTGACCGAATTCGTATTTAATGAAGTACTTATTATTACCTTCATACTTCAACACCGAGGACCAGGCAAACATTACATAATGCATCCATGGTTTGTTCCTTAGTCCCCTCTTAATATTGCTAACCAGGTCCTGTGATTGTATTGTAGGAACTGCTGAAGTTCATAAAGTACATCCTGCGGAAGTTTTTTGAAGCCTTCGAACGCAACAGAAATGTCGCGGTGGAGGCCCTATTCCTCAAATCAACTAAGGAGAGTTTAGAGGCTTTTAATGGCTATGGAACCTACGATGAAGGGTACGTACTCTTTTCCCCACATTTTATCTTTTAATATGCACGCCATAGGCAGAATTCTATATTCAGGCCCGTTTTTCTTGGGATACGTGAAGATTTGGTCTTGGCATTCGCGAAGTAAGCCTTCTATGGTAACCGTCGGACAGTGAGACGACGTTTTATTGCAGTTGCATTTTCATCAGTTTTTATCGGGTGTACCAACTGAGTAGATGCAACCAGGGCCTTCCTTATTTACTTTTGCCGTCATCATCTGTTACTACTTATCACGCTCTAAATTCCCTGTCGCGTAGGAGGCTCGTTACTGTCGCCAGTGGATGTCTGAAAGGTCGTCCCTAAAATGAAATAAACCAAAGACAACTCAGAGGCTTGAGTTCGTATGCAAGTGTGGCTACTGTCGTAGCGATTAACGAAGTCTATTCTTGCTCTGCCAGTCACTAGGCCTTCAAAGCAGCCAGCCGGACAGACGAAGCAACTCGAGCTTCGAACGTGAATTTGGTGCAGTCTACAGGACTACACCCATTAATTATAGAAGGTCAAACGTTATCCTCCACGTGTGTGTACAAATGTTTTAGAAGTTGGTTGAAAAACTTTAGATAGAAACTTTGGCCTCACAGCTAGTCGGACAATTTCCCAGTCAGTTAGACTTAACTGCACGCTTTGACTGCCACGTGAACCAATAGAGATGAACGTTGATATTGTACCTCTATGAACGACATTTTAATACTTCTTTCTCTATAAAAATATCCCCAGGAAAAATGCATCTTATCTTATTCCTTAATTCTTTTTCAGATCAAGAGCAGTAGTTTGGACACCAGAGCTCGATAAGGAGCTAGGCCAGCTATTTGACTCATACCGTTTCGAACCCGTTCCCAAAGGTACATCTTATTCTTCTATCTGTTCATTGCTTTACATGCAGCGTCCGAATGAATAGTTGTCATTTTCACACAGATCTGTCACTGATGTCTATTTTAAGCCCATAGTTTTTTGGTGTCAGTTTTAAATCTGCTACGGTCACTTTAGTCGTCTGTGGATTGTACTTTAGGCGAGTCAGTACATTGCGGTTTCCTCGTGTAGAAATCTGCATTCTCTGTTTTTCTGCGTGGAATTGCAGTCCCGTCGGCCAAAGCTATCCCATCCTTGGTTTACCTCGCTGAGTCTAAACGCTATAATTGTTTAACCATCGATTTAGATGGAGTAAATCATATGCTCCAAGGAGGTTGGTGCAGGGAAGGGGGCTGAATAAAGGTGTTGATTTTGAGCAGCGAGCGTCTATCGCACTCTCCACCTTAACCCAGAGTCAAGAAGACCGAAACGGAATCTAGCGTAAGCCGCTTTCTTCGACGTAGGCCAGAACACCGCGTGTTTTAGGCTTAAGTGACAGTAGACTTTCACTGGTACTACCGAAATACCTACCCTCATTCACCTTCAACCGATATCAAGACAGATACAAGAAGGCTGAGACTGCTGCTGCTGCTGCTGCTACTACTACTACTACTACTACTACTACTACTA